AGTTTAAAGACTCTTTTTGCTGCTGCTGCTTTCGTTTCTGTTGCTGCTGCTCGTGCTGCTCCTGAACTTCTGCTGTTGCTGCTGCTGCTGTGGCGCTGCTGCTGGTTCTGCTGCTGTTGCTGTTGCTGCCTTTGTCAATGCTGCTGCTGCTGCGGCTAGATGCCGTGGCAACAGATGGCAGCAGATGTGCTGCTGTTTGCTGCTGCTGCAGCAGCCGGTAAAAGCCTCGAATTGCTGCTGCTGCTCCTGGGGGAACCTGCAGCAGCAGCAGCACTGCGCCTGCCGGAGACAGTTGATTTGCTGCAGGCGCTGCTGCTGCTGCACGGCTCAGCCATTGGAAGTGTGAGTTTGCTGCTGCAGTTGCTGTTGCTGCAGTTTGCTGCTGCTGTTTGTGCTGCTGGTGCCTGAAAACAGGCTGGTTCGTGTTTGCTGCTGCTGCTGCTCAGGCTGCTGCTGCTGCTGCTGCTGCTGCTGCGCGCACGGTGAGTGCGGAGCTGCTGCGGCGTCACCGCGGTTTGCTGCAGCAGCAGCTGCGGCAGGCTGTGGGTGCAGCAGCAGCAGCTGCTGCTGCTTCTGCTGCATGGCCTGAAGATGCTGCTGCTGCGCTGCTGTCTCCCCCGGAATTGGTTCTTTGGATGACAGCAGCAGCAAAATATAATATCGTTGAAGAAGTAAGGATGCAGGGTTTAGGGTTTAGGGTTTAGGGTTTAGGGTTTGCTTCTTTTCCCAGCCACTTGAGGGTTTAGAATTTCACTATCTGGAAGAGTTTGAATAAATTTGCAGGCATCCGTTTGCTGCCTTTGGCCACCAGGAGCACCTCATGCTGCTGCTGCTGCTGCTGTTGCTGCTGCTGCTGCCGTTGCTGCTGGTGTTGCTGCTGCTGCTGCTGCTGCCGTTGCTGCGGCGCCTCAGGAGCTGTGGAGGTTGTGCGCGTCGCATATGCTGCTATATTTACAGCAGCAGCGGCAGCAGCAGCAGCAGCAGCAGCAGCAGGGATTGTCCCCGCTGCATTTTGCTGCAGCAGCATATGCATGCGCTGCAGCGGCTCCAGGCTTTGAGAAGCCGCAGCTGCTGCTGCAGCAGATTGCTGTGGCAGCAAGAAAGCAGCTGGATAAGTTTTCAGTGCCAGAGATGAGTCAGGTGCAGCAAGACATTCTGCTGCTGCTGCTGCTGGTCCTTCTACTTTTGCTGCGGCGATGCTGTTGCTGCTGCTGCGGTCGCGTGTACCAGTTGTAGAGGGGATCTGCTGCTGCAGCGGCAGCTGCTGCTGCTGCTGCAGAGAACGCGCTCGGCAAATTCGCAGCGGCAGCAGCAGCAGCAACAGCAGCAGCAGCAGGGCTCCCCGAAGGGTTCAGGGTTTTCAATTTGGGGCCTAGCGCTTAGGGTCTAGAAGGGTTTAGGGTTTAGGGTCTATGGTTTAGGGTTTAAGGGCTAGGGTTTAGGGTTTAGGGTTTGTGCTGCAGCTGGTGGGGTCCCTCACAAAGGGAGGCGTTGACTGCAGGGTGCTGCTGTCTCGCTGCTCTGTGCTGCTGCGCCGAGCAGCAGCAGAAGAAGATTTGCTGCAGCAGCAGCAAGTCACAGGTTCGCTGCTGCTGCTGCTGCTGCTGCTGCTGCTGCTGCCCGTGCTGCTCTTTCTGCTGCTGCTGCTGCTGCTCTGCTGCTGCCTCTTGAGCTGGCCGTAGATCGGGTGCGTCGCAGGCTGACCCTGCACCCCAAACCCCAAACCCTAAACCCTAAACCCTAAACCCTAATTGCGTGTATTTCAGGCCGCCATTTGGTTAATTTGATTACTGCGTTTAGCCGCGAAGGTGTAAAAGATGAAAAAGTATTTTCTCTTGTTGCAGCGCTGCTGCTGAGGTGTACAGACACCTCAAACAGGTGACTTTGACCTCTCATTGCTTTTAAAAAGAGAAGCAACCGGGTTTAGGGATTAGGGATTAGGGTTTAGGGTTTAGGGTTTAGGGTTTGGGTTGTCTCAGGGCAGCACAGCAGAAGCTGCTGCTGCACTTGCTGCAGCCGCATGATGCTGCTGCGCTGCTGCGGGCATTTGGAAAGGCAAAAATGCTGCATAGAGGGCTCATGCAGGTTTGCTGCTGCAGCTGCTGCTGCTGCTGCTGCTGCTGCTGGGCATTTTGGCGTTGCTGCTGTGGTTGTTACTGCTGCTGCTGTTGAAGCCCGTCGTCGCTATGGCGGCGGCCTGTGTCGTTGCTGCAGCTTTTTTTTCTTGCTGCTTTTGCTGCTGCTACCATTCTTGCTGCTGCTGCTGCCTTTGCTGCTGCTGCTGCTGCGCTTGATGCTTCTGACTAATGCCAGTAGGTTCGGGTTTTGAGCTGTCTGTACACCTGAACAGGAGCTGCTGCTGCTGCTGGAAAACAAAATTTCTTTTTTGCCTAAAGAACAATTATTAATGGTGCTTCAGGCCCTCACGCGAGTAAGCAGCAGCAGCAGCAGCAGCAGCAGGCTGAGGTGTCCGTACACCCCAAACGCCTGGGCTGTACGTGCACCCCAAGTGCCTGAGGTGTACGTACACCCCAAGCGCCTGGGCAGCCACTTGGTCATTTTCCGCCGTTTTTGCAGCAAATTGTTTTCCTTTTGTTTATTTTAATTAAATTATTTATTTATTTGTTTATTTGTGTATATTCCTTTCTATTTGTTTGTTTTAGTGAAACTATATTGCTGCTGTACTTTTGCTGCAGTTAGCCTTCTCCGCCCCCTCCCTGCAGCAAGCGCTGCTGCAGCAGCTCTGCTGCACAGGCACTCCACAGCAGCAGCAGCAGCAGCAGCAAGAGCATCGGACAGAACAGCAGCCGGAACAGCAGCAGCAGCAGCACCAAGAGCAGCAGCAAGAGCAGCAGCAAGAGCAGCAGCGAAAGCAGCAGCAAGAGTCGCAGCAGCAGCAACAAGAACAGCAGCAGCAGCAGCAGCAGCTGCAGCTGCAGCAGCAACTTGGCGTTTCTGAGTGTATGATAATTGCTGAGGCCGTTTCGAACTTCTCTTTGGTTTTGCCTCCTCCGCTGTACAGACACCTGAAGCAAACGCTTCCGCCTGAGGTAAATAAAATTAAAATAATTTTATTTAGTTAAAATTAATTAATTAACTAATTAATTAATTAATTGAATAAATCAATTAAATAAACAAATTAATTAATTAATTTGTTTGATTAATTAATTAATTAAACAATTAATTAATTAATTAAACAAATTAATTGAATAATCGCTTTATTAAATAAATTAATTTATTCCTTTATTTACTTTTTTGTTTATTTGTTTATTCATTTTTAATTTATTTGGGTAGTTAATTAATTTGCTATGTAATTGGATGTATGTAGTATTTGGCCATGATTAAAAAACCAGTTAACTGATGGCTGGCTAATTAGGGTTTAGGGTTTAGGGTTTAGGGTTTAGGGTTTAGGGTTTAGGGTTTGGAGTTGAGTTGTGGGGCTTGCGGGTTGCGGTGTACGTACAGCTGGTGCCCACAGACACCGCAGAATCTCTTTTTTGGAATTTCGAAAAAAAGAATAAAAAAAGAAAATGGAAAAAGTTTCGAACCATTAAATGGTCTTGGTAGCAGCTCCAAAATACCATTTTATTTCTATTTTCTTTCAAACCAATTCATTTCCAATTCCACACAAGAGGGGCCCCCTAGGGGCCCCTCAGGGGCCCCCTAGAGGACTCAGGGGGCCCCCCTGGGGGTCCCTAGGGAACCCAAGGGGGCCCCGGGGGCCCCCAGGAGGGGCCTTCAAGAGGGGCCCCAAGAGGGGCCCCCAAGAGAGGCCCCCGATGGGGGCCCCCAAGAAGGGCCGCCAAGAGGGGCCCCGAGAGGGCCCCCAAGGGGGGCCCCCCGATGCAGCATTGCAGTTTCTAAGAAGCAAATAAATGCCCCTTGGGGGCCCCCAGAAGCCCAGAGGTTTCTTAAAAGAAGCCTGGGGGGCCCCCGGGGGCCCCCAGGGGGCCCCAAGGGGCCCCTGGGGGCCTCTGGGGCCCCATGAGTCCCCAGGGGCCCTTTAGTTTTGAATTTTTCGTTTATGATTTGAAGCAACTTTTGGGTTTCTTTTTATCGTCGACTTCGTTTACTTTTGACTTGCTGCAGCTTCTCTGCAAACGTGGCTAGCTACTCTCAGCTATTCGGGGGGCTGGCTAGCTAGCTAGCTAGCCAGCTATGCAGCTAGCTAGCTGCATAG